CATGGCACTTTTTTATTAATATTAGATTTCAGTAATCCCATCTAACTTCTTCTATCCAAAATGAGAGGAATATTATATCTTGAAACTAATTCCCCACTAGCCGACCGGCCTGTGCAGGGGGCAGGGAACTGTCCTTTACATTAGAAAGGTCCTGGGTTCGAATCCCGGGAAAGGAATGGATGTTTCTTTCTCCCTCTGTGTGTTGTATGCCCTTTCTCCTTTGTGTGTGAATGTGACACGCCCTATAAACGGGTTGTGGTTGTGTGAATGGCGTGGAAGAAGTCGAATTCCTGACCATAGATGGCGCCACTGAAAAGATGTCCCCACTGCCAAAACAGGCATACGACAACAAAAACAAATTCCCCAATAAAACATATAGTATCCCATTAAAACATATAATTACCCATTAAAACACATAATATGTTTTAATTGCCCATTAAAACATATGAAACTGTTTGAATAATGTACGAATTTTAGTATTCAGTCAGTGGAAGAACTGAAAGTTGCCATAAATAAAGCCAGAGATAATTGATCTTACTGTTCTCAAGAAATTGGTAAATGGTATTGCAGATGGTGTTTCAATGTTGCGGTGAGAAGAATGAGAATCAAATTAAGCAAATTTAACATGTAACATTAATTGAATATTTAAGTGCAATATTTATTGAAATGTAACAAGTACTATTAATATAAGGATTAAAAGAACCCTTGCTCTCTTCGTGTGTGAAGGCATGACTGACTTGCTTATAAAAAGGATGCGAGAAGGAAAGAAATGTACCATTGGTTGATAAAGTCGTCGATGTATCTCAATAGAAAAATGTTAGAGCCAGAATAATACCAATGGTGCAGTATACAACATTGTATATTTCAAATTAAATATAAATGTGGATGTGTTGGCTATTGACACTAACTGCTTTATCTCGGTAGAATACTTTGTCCCTTCCTTTTTCTGCCCCTGTGGACAATAAGTGTGTTAATGTTTGCAAATACGCATCATTCATTTTTTAAACATACCTGTTTCCTACTTTTTGGTTTTAGTTACTTCCAGTTATAGCACAAAATCAAAGTGACTTCCTTTTAGTACGGCACATTATGACTGGAAATTACTGAAGAATTAGAAGGGGAAAAATGTACAAAACACACTGAGAAAAAAAGCATAGCCAAAACTTCCCGAATATAATAGAATTTACTGCGTTTTTGAATATCTGGGAACGCCAAAAAGCTTGGTAGTTTTTACCGAAACACTTTGGTTATGATTTTGGTAAAATATTGTTTTATAATGCTTGATGAAATTAGGCCAATGTCGTAAGATTGAGTTACTTTTTTTTATGTTTTAGAGAAAGACATAAAAATTATTTCTCTGTTTAAATTTACTTTTAAGTTTTATATTTTTTACTGAATGTACGGTAATAAAAAGTATATTTTTGAGACTATTTCTGGTAAACCATTGCTATATGAATGTGAAAAATTCCCAAATGGCTGGTTTAGATATCGTATAGTATTTGATTTTATTAACCAGAATTATGTTTCTTTATCAAAAATGCCATTACTACGTAACACGGTAATTTTACCAGAATTTTTGTATCCGTACAATAAGGAAAATTAAAACACTTTAGATAACTCTAGTACTGTGTACCACCGATCATCTTCAACTAATTTGTCACCTAAAAGTAGAATAATTAATCGTTGATGTTGCAGTTAAGCGCATTAAGAAGAGCAATTGAAGTTGTTTTATTGAGGAGCATGTAACGTGACTCGACGTAGTTAAAGTCGTAATGGCCGTGCATCCCCCGCCTTTTATTGACAGATTAAACGTTGCACTTCCATTTTCATAACTTTATTTACGACATCTTGTTCATGATGATTATAAAAATGAGTAAGAATCATGGTAAACGGAGTCCATTTATCATTAAGATCTCTTTAAGATCACGATATGCGTTAATCTTCGATTTTTACTATCAGGAATGAAGGACATGACTTATCTTAATATACCAGGAGATAAAACAGAGTATAGATCATCTCTCTCAGGCTCTTCAACATGTTTTTTGTAAATAGTAAAACCGAATTTGAAAGCTATAAAGAAATGTTTATTTCAAAAATGCTGGCAAATTGAAACTGTACTAGTAAATCCTTTGGGCGGAGTTTCTTTTAAACGCTGAAAATCACGTTCTTTATTGTTCTATTTTTTAAAAAACTATAGACTTTGATTTTTAAAAAAAAAATAAATTCTTTTAATTCTTAAAAGGAATATTGAACCATAAAGCTATCATCTGGTACAATGACACATCCAATAAAAGAGATATATACCAGATCGTGACAAAACAAAATATACGTTCTCGAAATAGCCATATGTTTCTTTTACTGGTCTTATTCGATACCATTACAAAGATAAATGTAGAATCTGCGATTCATCGAAGTTTTGCAGGGTAAGTTATACGTTACACTTTATGTAATTCTTTGGGACCAAAGAAATGAAACGAGTTTTATTTTCAACAGTGTTTCTTTTATTTTTCTTACTTTAAAACTAGTATTTTAATCTTCAAGAATTTTAATTTAAATGAAAAACAATTTTTAAACTTAAAATATTTTTTTAACGTGCAAAGGCCCAACGGATTTATCAAGTATCTCTTCTGCAACAAAACAACTGTTTGAAATGGTCAATTTTTCAGAAAATAACTAAGAAACAATGAAAAAAAATGCAACTTTGGAAGGTAGTTTTATGCGGAAGAAAAGTCGTTATTATGTAACTGCTTTTTAGGGAGCTTTTTTAGGGAATCTTATTTGTTTATGAGTTTAGACCACTGCATATTGAAGATTTCATTCTCCTGATAAGTTACTTAAGATATCTTATTCTCTCTCTTTACTCAGTCTTTCTTTTCAAAAATATAAAAAATAAAAAATAAATATACTTTTTTTTAATTCTAACTTTTGATCTACTCAGTATAAGGATACATATGATTGTAGTTATTTACGCTTATAAGTTGGTCCAATTTAGTTACTAAAAAAAAGCCTTTTTATGAGTAGTTTGTGAAAATCAACGTTTCATCCTTAATTTGATAAAACTTTACATGATATTGTATTGATATAATTTCGTGCTCAAATGTATTTTAAAGGAGGCATTAAGTTGTAGTATAATTCATCTCGATGACGTTATTTTGTCTAGAAATTACCCTGAAATTAAAAAAAAATACAGAAAAATATCCACGTATTTTTTTTAAAATTTTAAATAAACCCTTTAGTATGCTTATAAAATGTAGAGTTGGTCAATAATTAAACTATATTGATATACTTATGTCAAAATCAGTATTCTGAACAAAAATCAAATAATCTGCTTTATGTTAATGAATAAATTTACTACGTTCCCATTCCTAATAAAATTGTAAATTATCATAAGCTGAGTTATACTAAGGACGCAAAAAAAATCAGTTCAACTTATTAATGTGATAATTTACTGTACTATCGAAAAATTTATTGAAAAATTAAGCGAAAAAATATTTAAATCATATATTTTGAATTTGCTTTAATTATTTCTTGAAACATTTTTCGTCTAAATAAGTAGAATCAATTAATATGTGATATAATAAAACTAAATTATTTTTGAATTTTAATTTGAATTACTTTTATGCTAATGATGCCGATGTGATGAATAGTTTTGTAAGCAATCTAAGTTTTAAAAATGCATAAGTTTTCTCATGGTATTTGACAATCAATCACGCACATTCATTTATACAAATAAAAATATGGTGACATATTGAATTTCTTTTATTTCAAAACCATTTTACAGTGATGAATAAAAGATTTATTGCCTGCTGAGAATTTAATAACGGAGCTGTCAAGATTCGTTTTTCTCTGTTTGAACTGTACTTCATATAATCCAGAAACCCTCCGACGATAAAAAGTTTTACCAGATAAAATGAAACTTCATTTTCATCAAAAATGAATTTAAGAGAAATGGCGGTTTTTCATTATGTTCGCCGTTGAGTCAGCTAATTTTATTGTTTCTACAAAATGACAAGTTCAAGATAAATGACTTGTTACTATTCAAGGTAAGCTGTTCTATTTTCAACTTCTGATAATTAAACAATTCGGCCGGAAAAAGTTGTCCCATACTGCTCATGCATAACTTACTGGCCCTTTAAATATTATATGAGAGGTTTAAATGGACTTAAAATATCTGGTATTGCATACTCTTTAAAAAAAATAAAAATATATATATCCTATATTTGGGGCCATGGCAGTTGTATTTAGTTGTAATGAAGAAGGGGGTAATAAAGGTAATAATTCAGATTAAAATGTTTAATTCGGATTGTTCGACTTGATTTAACGTTGATAATACCTGGTTGGAAAAATTAGCTTCGTTAGCTTCACTTCTCCTCCAGCATAGCAAAATCCAGGTGTTTCACTCTTAAATTTTAAGGCAGAGCAAAACACACATAACGTATTCAAGTCGGTGGAGACTATAATTATACGTTGAATCATAATAAAATGCACTAAGATTTAAATCAGAATATTGGCTTTACTTGAAGAGAGAAAAATACCAGTTTCTCGATAAAATGAGTATTAGGCATACACAAGAGGTTCCACGTTCAGCTGTCCACCCAACTAGAACAGAACATCTGCGCCTGCACCCCAGAGAGCAAGGTCCATAAAACTGGAATAGACATAGTAGTCCATGGCTATCCATGGGTTGTTTTGAAACTGAGTTTATTTTAATAGTTTAATTAATAGATTTGACATTTTCATATTTAATGATACCATAATTGAGAAAATTGACGCATAAATACAATACTATAGGCATTTTTACCACACAAGCCATCAGTTATAGTTCTGCGAAAAAAAGTTGTTTTTTTTCCTGCACAGATAAAACTGTGTTTTGCTAAATAACCCTTTTTTAAAAAACTCTTATTACATATACTACAAAAATATGATTTTCTTCTAGTATGAGCAAGGGTGTGTTCAGTTAAATTACTGCTCATTACAAAACTCTTATGGCATATGTTGCATTAAAAAGGTTTTTCACTTGTATGGACCATGCTGTGTCTTCTTAAATCACCCTTTCTTAAAAATCTCTTATCACATATACTACAAGAATAACGTTTTTCACCAGTATGAAAAAGAATGTGCTCATTTAAGTTACTACTTGTGGAAAAACTTTTATTGCATATGTTACATGAAAAAGGTTTTTCACCTGTATGGACTAAATAAATATAAGAAAACACGAAGAAAGTTTTCATATTTTGTAATCTGGCAATCTTTCTGCGAAAGCATTTTTAAATCATTCTTGAAAAATATTTCGTCCATGTAAGTTGATCTGATTTTGCTACTCGCTTTATAGCCCTTTTTTAATGTTTTTTCTTTTTATTTTATTTNTCAAAAAAAATCGAATCGATTTGAAATTTTGAGGGCTTACATAGAACTGTTCAAATAACTATTTTCTATTAACAGAAAGTACAAAAAATATGTTTTGCAAGTTTGGCAAGTGTTCAAACTTTACAACTTTTTCACCATAAAAACAATCCGTGATGAAAAGCTGGATTCAGTTCGCAAAAAACAAAGTATTGCAATTTGATCATAAGTAACTAACAGTAGAGGGTTCACTTTAGAACATATCAAATTTTCATGCCATTTGAATGATTCTTCGCAGTTCTATGAACATTTGAATTTAGACCTTTTCTTTGCAGATTTCAAAATTTTCGCAAACTTTTGACCGGTAGTGTATATATTGTAAAATCACTGTAGTTAAAAAATTATTACCGTAAACTGTATGATAAAAAATTATTACCATAAACTGCATGATAAAAAATTTCATAGTGAAAAGGAATTTTGTGGTAAAATTAATTCTACTGATAATGCCCTAGGGTGACGGATTTTTTGCAGTAATTTGATATGGATTTTTTTTCAGTGAGCAACAATAAGAGCTTGATATAGATAGCAATGTTTTCTGCTATCAATGTTTTCTTATGTTCAAACCAGTGATTGCTTGTCATAAATATTCAATAGACAGAAGAAATTGCGCTGCAATTCAGATAGCCTCGTATGCAAATACGCAGCAATATGAGTTACAATTTACGTATTTTAATCATATATTTTTCAAGAAATGCTAAGGATAAGTTACAAATTAACTAATATTGTTCTTATACAAAGCAACCACGCAAAATTTTTTTAATGTGAAAGATTCTAGGAAATATAGTATTAAGCTTTATTTTCTCCAATGGTGCCCTTGTTATTGTGTTTAAATATGGTTCTTAAAAGATTTTAGAATTTCCAATAAATTGCAGCACAATACCCATAAACGTCAAGTGATTTTTTTCCTCAGTGTATTTTCTCCTAAATAATTACAAATATATACAAACTATGCATTCGTTACTCATAATTATTATAATTTTTAAAAATAGAAGTATATTTCAAACTATTTGCATTATTTTCAACTTTGGTATACATATTAAAACAAAATAGAACAAAAATAATTATAAGAGTGTATGTTTTTCTTTTGATAGAATTCATTCCATTTCATTTCATTTCTTTTCTTTTATATTTTATACTTAATAAAACGCTGATGTTGAGCGTTTCTAAAAGGCAGCTACAAAGATTTTCCTTGTAGCTTTATTACTCTTGGACTTTTACTACTTTTAAAAAGAAAATTCACCAACTAAAGCTTCTTTTACTTTAAGTGTCCTGTAAAAACATTTACAGTTCAAATTTAGGAAATATCATAAAATATAAGTTCAAATCGCCTCGACGAATAGTCGTAAATAGTTCCTCTTTTCTTTGAATTTTAGTTTTAAGAGTCCGAGTGAAGTTTAGAATACGCACAAGAAATTCTTTACTCAATAAAACTAAGTGCCCATTTTCAGACGTACTAAACTATTTTTTTATGTATTAACTTAAATGTCTCTTTTTATTTACGAATGTTTTAGTGGTTTATATCTATTTATGCTATTATTTGTATAAGAAAGTATGGCTATGGACACTCAAAAGCTTTTTATTTTTAACAACTCGCCATGAATAATTATGATGATTTAAAAAATTTTATTACTAAAACACTCTTTGATGTTACTGACCCATGATAAATAAGTTATGTATCTCAGTAATAATTCTGCAAAAGCACGTTTGCAACAATTATTTCATTTCAGACATTCTTTTAAATTCAGAAGCTCAACTTAAAAGCTGTTGATATGTTTTTTTTTATTAATTTCCAAAATCAGGAAGAGTTTAAGTCACGAAATTATATGCCTTTTATGGGCATATAATTTAATACTTGCTATAGTGTTGAGATATATTAAGCAACACTTTAATTTCTATCAGTTTTTTCTTCTTAAAATTTTTTTTATCTAAGAATAAAATCACTTTTTTCGATGGTTGTTAAAAAGTATAATATAAAGCACAAAAGCAAAAATTTTGTTTCAATTCATTTCTGATAAAATCTAAAGTCGATATGATTACGAGGTGAAAAACAAAAATCATTTACTCTGAACGAAATGGTAAAGTACGTGATAGAAATTAAATCCATCTTAAATCTCACTATGTCTCTATATGTCTAAAATAAAATTTATCGCAGAATATCGTATGAACGATAAGGTATATCTTATAAATAAGTATATCACAACTCTCTATATATTTAAGATAAAGTATATCTCAATTAATGATTGAATATATCTCTTAAATTAAGCTTATCTTAAGCTTAGTGATCTGCGTGGAGCCAAAATGTCATTACATATTCAACATATTCAAGCTTGTTTAACGTTTCCTGCTTTTTCTTTTTTCTCTTTGAAAAAAAATATTTTGATATATGATGAGTTCTCTTCAAATTCAAAAATACTATAACCACGAAAATAAAGATTTCTTTCCTCTTCCTTTCTCGTGAAACCTAATGTCAATAACATTGAGAAAGGCGAAAGCAACTCACTCAGAACGAAACGACAAAGTATGTCTTAGAAATCAATTATTTCTTAGAAATCAAGTATATCCCAAATCCATCTATCTCTCTGTTTGTCTATAATAAAATATTTTATAGACGCTTAAGTATGTAGAACAAATATATCTACCTTCGAATCTGCCTAAAATAAAGTATATTTCTTAAAAAGTATCCTAAAAACGAATAGTTATATTTCATAAACTTATAATATATCAAGCAACAAAATATCTTAATGATAAAGTATATCTTATATATTAAGTATAAGTCAAATCTATTTATCTATCTAAAATAAAGTATATCTCAAACTATATTATAAAATTTGAAAAAAATTTACGTTTTGTGTGATCTGCAAGAAATCAAAATGTCATTACTTTTACAAGCTTGTTCAACTCTTCTCGATTTTTTAAAAAAAAGATACTTCGATATATGGTGAGTTCTCATCAAATTCAAAGATACTATAACCACAAAAATAAAATTTTCTTTCCAATTCCTTTCTGGTAAAACCTAAAGTCGATAACATTAAGGTGGTGAAAGGCGGAAGTAACTCACTCAGAACGAAACGATAAAGTTTTCTTAATGAGCACTTGCTCGTTTCCCGCGCTCGTTCCCCACACGCTTCCGAAAGTGGGAGGAGAATGTCATAAACTTTCTTCTAGGTCTTTTGAACGCATCCGTACGTGCTCCTTCATTGATTGCCTTTAAGTTAACTTCTCCTTTTACTTTTGCCTATTTGATTGAGTAAAATTTTAAGGTGGAGTTGAGTAATCATTGAAAGTCTAGAATCTTATTACTAGGTACAGCTTCGAATTCCTTTTAGATGTTGACTTATTCTATTGAAACTGGTAATTTTGATAGCAAAGTACTTTTTTTTTCCATTTCGGTTGGGTATAAGCGAAGTAGCTCATATTAATTTAGTATATTCATAGATTGAGACGACGCGTTTTGAGGGATTTTGCAATATTAAAAATTAGGTATTAAAAATTACGGTATTAAATATCGGCTATTTGGGTGCATCATCCGTAAAACTCATTTTGCCCTTAAATCTATTTCTATCATAAATTTCTGGCAAAATGGATTTCACAGTAAAAAGTACCGGCATCCCGAATGCAGGTACTTTTTACCTACAATACCATAGTACTGATATGTGAAGTGTGCAATGAGGTGCTAGAATGATTGTTTTATGTGTTCGCAAGCCTTTGTCATCTTGCCTCATCTGTAATGTGATTGACAGGAGCTTCCGTATTGTGTAAAAGACAAATTTTAGCTAGAATGTGGTAAATGCTTGCTCTGATCCTCCTATTAAGAGATTATAATAGTTGAAAGCTGCTGGTAAGAGAAAATTCTCTGTGGTCAAGCCTGAAATAGGTTGTCAAGTACAGATGAAGACTTTGAGAAGGATTACCAAGCTTGTCGCTGGATGTGAGGAATGCTGCTAGGCTTAAGGACAGAAGTTATTATTCACTCACAAATTCTTAAATCTCTACATGAGAAATGCCGTAACTAATTCTATTTTACCTTCATTGGTAATTTAAAATATAAAGTATAGGAGAAAAAAAGGAATTCAGATGAACCGAGATTAAACCATGAAGCTTCAATTGATGAATTTGAGTTTCAAAATATCAAGAGAAAACAAATTTTAGCATGATAATTTAGTCGCTGCGTAACCCTTCTTTAATTTATTGGTATTTAGTCATTTTCGAGAAGAATAAAAACTTTCAATCTTAGAATCCTCTTGGTTAAATTTTCGTTTATCATAATTCACTTTTTCTATAATTTAAGCATGAGCCACTGTGGCTCACGGGATACAGCGCTCGTCTCCCAATATCTCAGTATTGGTTGGTTGATACGAGATCTGCTTTCGTCTCTCACCGACCACAGTGTTGACGCAATATGTTCTCAGTAGTAGACGTTTCGTCAGTTGGAATCCCCTTGCAGTCGGACTCACCATGGCAGGTTTTATTGGTTTTCTTTTACAAGTAGCGGAAATGCTGGTTAGTCCCATCAGAAAGTCCTCCAAGCTGGCTATTTTCACCCCAAGCTTACTTTTGAAAACATTTAATGCCAGCGTCAACTTAATGCGCAAACACAATCTTTTCTAGGAAGTATTTAATTATTAGACTTAAATTAAACATGTTTGACCCAGGAGTTCTCTTGTCTTCTGGTTTGGATTTAAATTTACAAGACTGCGGTGTTGAACAAGGTAGTCGTAAGGTGTTTAGCATTAAAAAAAGTGAAACTTAACGAAGATTAATTTCTACTGATATACCTTATTGAAATATTGATATGCCATATCGATATTGTGTTTATTGATTTTCTGTAAAATAATTATTTAGGCGTGTTGATAGAGTATGTGTTTAAATTGCTTATATTAAAACTATTAAAATATTTATGTTTATTAGTTACACAAAGAATACCTAGTTTCTTTTTAATTAACTGATCTATTTAGAAGCATTATGTTTTATAATAATATGTTTTCATATTAATATATTTTAGCATTTCTACAGCATTTTATGCCCATGACTACAAACACGTTCAGTGTGCAAAAAATGGACCACCCAGAATAACTTTTAATCTATCTATTGGATCTTAAAGAGTTTTAGAGATATAGCGAAATACTCAAAAATTAAAATTGCAGTGGGGGTCCAAACTTTGGACCGCTCTCATAACCAAACTATGGGTACCATATTTCCCAGATGGCGGCTACCTCCTATATTTTTGGAGTCAGAAATCCGGATCCATCGTAAAATAGCTATGCTTATTCAGAGAAAGCACGTTTTGATGTCTGGTTTCGTAACTTAAAATATCGTCTGCACTTATTAATTAACATATTTGAAATCACCCCCTCAAACCATTAAGATTGAGTCCATGAACGTGAAGTCCCGATTATTAAATCAGAAGATTTTCAAAGTGATCCATTTTTTTTGGCACTCTGCTCCCATTGCATTAAACCGTAAAATATTTGATACATCTGAAAAAATAATTCTTAAGTTTTTTCAACGTACTCTTGAATATATTGAATGCCTCTGTTAAGCACGATCTTCTCTAAGAAGTATTTCTTTCAAGATTTCAACCAACCAGTTTATACTAGTGTTTTAATAGGTGAATTTACGCTGAATTTTCAGGAAACAAAAATTTTGTAAGGAAAATATTGGTTTTGTTTTCTCGGAAAACAGAAAAGAAGATAGAGTAATGTCGGCATGCATTATAATTCTGCGATTTCTTTTTATAAATTGTCGCAAACAAGGCACTTTTATAATTGAAAAATTTCTTTTGGATTTTCAAAATAAATAAAAAAAATATGAAAACATAATATAAAACATAAAATTAACGTTTCTGCAACATCAAAAACTTTGTTTACTTTATGTTTTTCCAAAAATTACGTATCAAGAAGCAACACTAATTGCACATTAATGCAGCAAAAAACAATATTAATTAAGAATTCAATTTCAAACATTTTAGCAGCATATTTACAGTACTTAAAAAAGTTTTAAAAGTCTTAGAATATTTTTTTAAGAAAAAGAACAGTGTCATTAACTGTTTTTTTTAATTATTTTTAACACGAAGCTCATTAAAAACAGCTTAGTTTTGAGAACTCTAGATAATACTTACCTAACATTTAAAGACTTTTGAGAATCTCTAACAAGGTATTCAGTTATTCATTTCTTTAGTGATTAATTTACTTTTCTTTCTTTTATAAATGCAGTAAAAAGTACGTAATATATTTAAAACAATATACTTAACATAAGATAGATCAATTTTTTGTCTAGTTTTATTCGCAGTTTTAGATATGGAAACGCGTGATTTGTTTTCAAGTTTAAATTGCGCAAAGGAAAATTTTTTCTCACCAAATTCTTAATGAAACGGACTTTTCGCTGAAATTGTTGTTGACATGGAAGCGAATTAAAAGAATTTTATTTAAATTAAAGCAAATAATGAAGTCGATTTTATAAGTTATATTTAAGGATGTTATTGTTGTCTTACGCTACTTATCGATATTAACAAGCTTATTTTAAAGATAAGGGGTGTGCTTCTTCTAGTATTTTCGTTTCTCCATCTAAGACCAAGAATTCAACTTCTGCCACACACGTATGTCACAGCCCGTTTTACTAGGAGGACGCATTTACACAATCCATCCATCAGCTGAACGTAAGTTTGACCTGAACCAGACCACGATCAATCTCAGATCCAGCAACCCCAGAAGTATTGATTTTTTATTGAAACTTGAAGAATCTTGTGACCCAGACAGATTTAGTATGACCCCAACAGCATAACAACATCAGTCACCATTTTGTATACGGGAGTCTTCGATCAGCGGGAATCGAACTCATGACCTTTTGGACATAAGCCTAACTACCAACGGTCCATCCCAGCCGTGATTTTACAATCTAGTAACGTGTCAAGACCCACTCTCCTGTTCGGAAGTTTTTTTTCTAATAGAATTTTAAGAAAAAGAGATTCTAATAGAGACTCTTGGCTTTGCCTGTCAGAGGAAGTGTAGAAGGAAGTTATTCTTAGAGGAGAAACATTTCGTTTGGTATTTCTCTACAAAAAGAAAAAGAAAGAAAGTAAGAAAAAACTTGATTTTTGATTTATTGTTGTAAGTTGATGTTTTTTCACATATCCAATTATTATTTTTTTCTTCATATTTAGTGGTACAATAACAATAGCAAAATTTTCTATCCAACTATATGAAACTAAGTATTTTATGGAGCACAGATATAAATTTTCTTTAGTTAGGTGAAATATATGTATTATAACTTATTAATAAATTGATTTCAGAAAATTAAAATGTTCTTAAACAATAGCTTACTAACTAATGAAGCATAGTCCATATAATAAATTTTCTAATTCAATTAAAATGAATTAAAATTCGTCTTGTTAATTCAATTTATTCAAAAACTAAGAGCTATAAATACAGAGAAATGTTAGGCATCTCTCAGTTTTGTTACAGATAGTCAAGTGTTCAATACATGCATATTGTTTCAAAATTGAAAAAACTAAAAAATTAATTAATGTTGTTATGAAATAGAAAATGAATTCGTTCCTATATTAGTACCATAAACTTTATAAAAAGATACACAAAACGTTATTAAATAACAGTTCTTTAATCGTAAGATTTATTACTTTTATTGTGGAATGTTATTTTTGAAACTGACCAATTTACATAACTATGCTAAGACAACTTAATGATTCTTTTAGTATCATGATAACTGTAATGGACACTTTGCTCTCTTAAAAAATTTAGCACATCATTTGAAAGGAATAATTGAGCAACTTTACAAGAATAGTTTTTATTTAATTGTAAAATGAAAGCGAAATGCTTACTATGAAAAAAGTCGAATTATTTGAATAAACTTTTACCAATCCCGTATAAATAAGATGAGCTCCTCTATATAAAACTGTAAATCAAATTGGTTAAATTAATTAAATTTTGCATTTGCTCGTTATTGAATACAAGACAGTTATTTATTTATTTTTAAATTTCCTTGAAAACATTTTTTAGTTTATGTTCTGTGTTTACGTGGAGTATATGTTCTGTGAGAGATTTCTTCATTGCAGAAATTAAAAATCTAATTTTGTTTATAAAAAAGATTGAATTTGGGTAATAGGTAATCAAAACATTTATTACAGTGTGATTTAATGCTCATGTAATTTAATGATGTGAAAAATATCACAAATTATTTACTGGTATGCAGACTAGGTAATAAGATTTCATTTCTGAAACAGTTTGCCACTGTCAGTTGACATTGTCTTATGAGCAAAATTCTTGTAACTTGAAAAAATTACGTTATTAAGCACCAGTTAGCTTCGCTAGCTTAACGAGAAAAAGGTAACACAAAATACTTTTCTTAAGCTTCAGAAACAAAGAGGAAATTGAAAATAATACTGACCAGCAAGACCTAGAATAACTAATGTTCTCCGACCATAATTTTGAAGAGAATAATTTTAATTTGATAGAAGAAAGCATCGGAGGATGATATGCAAAATATTATGGTAGAGAATGATAGAATATTACAATTAGTTGACACAAATTCGATTAAGAACACAGCAAAAAAAATTTGAAATTGAAAACAAAATATATTATATTTAAGACCAAGTTCTCAAAAAAAAAAATAATATATATATATAAATAAATAAAAATCAGTTCAAACACCATCAATCAAAAAACTTAGAAATGATCTTACCAAAACAAACAGGCAAAAAAAACCGTTCCAGAAGAGGAAATAAAACCACAAAAGGATATAAAAAGCGACATTAAAGAGAAAAGGATGTCTACGGGATAATATTGTAGGAATTATGTAACAAGCAAAATCATTCGGCTCAAATCAATGAATAATTATAATAATTATAGAATATAATTAAATTATAGTAACGGATATATATATATATAAATAAATGAAACGAAAACTATAATACTACTGATTTGAAATTTATAAAAATTACAATAAATTTAACATTACCACGATAAAATATCAATAATATTAAATAAATTAATATATTAATATATGCATATTAAATTATATTTGATATATATTATTCTAAACTTATTATAAATACATTTAAAAAAATATATTTACATTGCACATAAATACATTACAATACATTTAGAAAATCAGTTTTTAAGTAAAAATGAATTATTTAAAAATATTATTATTTGTAATATGTTGGTGAAAGGATATATTTGTATTAGACTCAATTTAGATAAATAATTCATAAATTTTTCCTTGTTTGTTAATTCAGATGGTGTCCTAAATTTTTTTGGTACAAACAATACTTTCTACTAACTTTTATATTTATTTTCTCTAATAGCTACTTTAAGTTATTATAGTTTTTTTTATTGTTTTGAATATCATTGTCTCTTATACGAAAAACATGCCTTATCATTCATATTTCAAATTTTAAAAAAAACATCGTTGGAAATTTTATTTCCGTTCAGTCAAAAATGACTAGAAATATATTTAAGGTGATTTCACCATATCTATGGTAATTCCTGTTTGTTGGTTGGTTAGCTTGGTGAATTGTTTTCTGATTCGCTTTTATTTACATCCCAAAGATACATATGTATTTTGAAATGCATTGCTTTAAAAATATTTTAAAAACAGCGTTGTCATCAAAATATTTTATCGAAGATTATTATAAGGTGCAAAGTAGTTCATCGGATGTCAATTTTAGCCGTTACTGTGCTTTGATTTAAAATAAAAGTTTGGTTTCCTTAAATCAGCACTTTATTAAAACAAAATCTTGTAAAATAGTGCAAATGCTTTGCTTTTATGCATATTTTAGTAATTTTCCTTTTTACTTTCAGTTTAGAGCACACATTAAAAAGAAAATAGTATTTATTGTAAGAAAAATATTTTTTCTTTCTTATATTTTGGTATGTACCGTTTTGGTATAAGCTTAACAAATGCAGTCATCTAATTATATTTCCCTGAAAAACTAATTATTTATTGTTCATTATTATATAATATTCCAATAATATAGAATTATTATTAGTAGAATCCTAATTGATGGTACGAAATGGCGTGATTTAAAATTTTGGAGCCAACATGAAATGACAAGGAGGGAAATTAAAAGTGTTCAAAGCAAAAGAAAGTATTCTAATTATGAAAATAATTTTTAGTCACACATGTAAAATTTCAACATTAAATTACAACAGGTATTATTGCATAGTAAGCAACAACATAGAGACAATTATGTTATATCGACCACGCAACATCCAACAAGAGAACTTTCAACCACTATAAATTTTAACTTACTTCTTGCTGCTTAAGTAAGCCAACAAAACAGTCGTCTGCCATGATCGAACACATAACCCTCGTCTCTCCGAAAGCGGTATTAGCGACACCTTAACCGACAGCACCACGGAGGTGCAAATTATTGAGAGATAGTAATGTTTTTATTAATTTGTGTTTTTTATTTTCAACTGCGAGATGTAATATTTGTAATTGAGTTCATTCTCCGTAAACAGAACTAAAATTTATGTTCAAAGGACTATAAAAGAGTTAATAAAAAAATTTTGAATGGTTTCTTACTTTAATGAAACTTTAATTTTTTGAAATGACATTGAACAATTAAAGAATTGTTATTGCTTTGGAAATATACTAAGAAATATCAAGCAGTCATACACACATCATTTATTAATTTAAATTTTATGATAACTTATATTGCAATTTATGTTTTATATCTGAGTTTTGAAATAACATGTTCGAATTCTTTATATCCAAATATTTTATTTCCTTTTTTTCACTCTAAAAAAACTAAATTTATTCTTTTAACCTAACTTAAAATCTGTCTTTTTTTTATTCTTCAGAGGGTTGAGCAAGTTAATATATTGCAATCAAAATCAATATCTTTCACAAGAATAAAAAACATTAAAAAAAATAAACAACTAAGCAAAATAAATAAAAAAATCCATATTGGTAACAGCTGAAAAGCTTCATGTTTGGATGGATGTGGTCAGTACATTTTTTAAGGCTTTCAAAGTCCTTTTTTTATTTTAACTCTTACTGTGTTTTTTTTTTCTAAAAATACTTTCCTCTAGCATTTTTTTTTAAATTTCACCACTCAATAAAATTGAATAAAAGCTTTTTTCGCTGAGCAACTGAAATTCACGCAAAATTTATAAAGAGTTAGATTGATACAAGAAAACGCATAAGAGTTTTTTTGCGAAAATTAGAATTAGATGAATGCAAAAAAAAAGAATAAGTAATACATTAAGGTAAATTGTTTATGCACTAAAAAAAGGAAAACAAAATCTAAACATGTTAAAATGAGTTTCTAAAAATAAAAGATGCATCCTGTAAATCTTTATTTTGTATACATTTTATGTATTTTATATATATTACGATTTAATTTATATACATTTATTTCAATTATTCTATATTTCAGTTAGATTTATATTGATTTAAATTAAATTATATGTCTTACTTCTTTACAGATGCTGATAAAAAACGGGGTGAAGCTTTTTAAAAATTATTTCCATGGCTCTAAAGAATATTAACAAAACTGCAAGAAATAATAACGGTTATAATTTTCCTTGGTGGTGATTCAAAGGAAAAATTAGATCTTGAAGCTTTCAGCAATAGGCCTAAAATCGTCCGGAGACAATCGGTCCAATTTCGCCGAAATATTACTTTAGTAACTCCAAAATTTTTCTAGGTCCAGCTGATGTCCAGTGTTGCAAATTTCTGCCTGACCAGAAGAGGGCGTTGTAATCACTCACTCATTATAATTCTGTGAACACTTAAGTGGCAGGCAATGAATTGAATTGGATGGCTCATTGGAGAGTCCCATTTCGTATCATATATTTTTATTGTTTTTCTTATTAAATTTATTTATTATTAAATATGATTTCTTTATTTAATGCACCCATTCACCACTGAATCATTCTGCAACATCCTGGCTCCATGTAGTCAACTTAATGCTGTTGCGCGTGGGATTGTGATCAGGTGAGCATGACCCTTTCAAAGTATGTGATGAAATCTAGAAACTTGTCCTTGCGCTACATTTGTGTAATTTTTGCACTGTGAGTCGGAGGTGAATCATGTTGATCCACTCTATCTGCATAGCGAAATATTGATGGGTCTGTGGAAGCACTATGAAGTAAGTGATTTATGAAGTATCCTGCTTATGTGTCATAACTGCTTTACCAATCTGCCTTTACAAATCATAACCGACTGTGGATTTTGACTTACGGCAACCATGGCAGCGTTACTAGAAGAATCAGTGGAACAGATCCTATAATTTTGTTTATTGTGCAATATCTCCATGGTAAACATTTTCTCGTCTATGAAGAAGGCATAATTTGAGGCACATTCGTTCTTTTCTTCTCTGTAAGTTGGATTCTTTGACGATTTTTAAGTAAGTGAGGAAGTTTCTTGTTGGTAGTTAATAATATTTAAGAAAGTTGGATTTTTTTATATTAAACGACTTGAAATTGAGCTACTACTGTGCTATTTTCCACACCAATTGTTAACTGAATCCAGTAACACGTGTGATATGTCTCATTGAGATTCTCGAAATCATTCTACCCCATTTGTACAACTTTATTTCTTCACCCTTCATCCGCAACCAACACTTCTGTGGCCGTTGAGGTTTCCTTGAAACAGTTAATGTTTCCTTGAAGTGGTTAATGTTTCTCGAAAAAGTTTGTTGAGATGCATTGAACAAATTAACGATTTTTCAGTGTCTTTTCACTTCACCAAATAGTTCCACAACAGTAGAACGTTTGTTTGACACCCTGAAAAGAAATACAATTTGTACAATATTACCCCCCCCCCGAAAAAAATACTAGTACATAAAGTGGGCAAAATTTAATAATGTAAAAATTATTTGGCTGGGCAAACGACAATTGTTTTGGAATTCATTAACGTCTTTGTTATTTTTGTAAACCTGTATTTATATTTAGTTTTTTAATACTTAGAAATTGAACTTAGAGCTAATAATTAATTAAATTTCCTAATATACACAAATTTAAATTTCTGTGTTTAGAGATATAACAGTTTTAAGTCTAACATAAACTCGTAAAATGTTTAAAATCCAAAGAAAAATTTAGAAGTTATAGAAAAATCATGTGACCACTCTTTCTTGACAAAACGTATTCATCATCGTAAAACTGCTCCATTTGCTAAATTGGATTTAATAATTTATATCAAATAATGATACTCCTCGTAGTAAGAAAAGTAGTAATAGGAAATTAAATAAATAAATGGAATTGTCTTTCATATTTAAATATTTTTTAAACCATTTGTGAAAAGTTATAAACTGACTCAGCTGTTTTTGCTTGTAAAAACAGCGCCTACTTTTAAATCCTGTTAAAACTGTTAAATTACTACCAGAATGTATGTATGTATTTTCTTAAAAAAATATTTCATTCAAATTAGCATACTTAGTTTAGGCAAGAAATTTCATAAGAAAAAAATTATATCACTTATTTAAGAAGGAAATTTAGATTCAAAGTATGTCATATAATTAATTAAATAATATGGCTACAAAATTTAAAGACTAAAATTTCATTAAAGTTTCACAACAATGCTATGATTTAAACTTTAAGCATTGCTTTCCGTTAGTTAGGTGTTTTATCTGTTAAGGCAAAGAGATTACTTCATTGCATTTTAAAAAAAAATTTCTAACTTTAGTTCTGACTCTATCAAAACTCCCAGGAAAATATCTCGGCGTTAATAACGTCTACAGCAACGTCTAGGAAAACTAAATTGGACTTCGAAATAACAGAATTTATGCACATATTTAATGGTTCAGAAATTTCTATTCAGAACATTCATGGAACTGAAATAAAATATTTTTATCACACCCAGAAGACAGTTAAATTCTTCAAAGTGAAAGAACAATTCCTTGCATCTACACGCATCAAATGATCATTATAAACCACAAGTGGGTGAAAAGAAAGTTGTGAAGAGTAAAAATTTTATCGATTTGCAAACGATATCTGGTAGAAAAATCTTGCTCCACTAGAAAAGAGCAATGATTTATTTGATAAAATCGATGTTGAGAGTATCATATATCACTGTAAATTATATTTTTTTACGATTTGAAATAAGCTATGATTATTAGTTTTGAGCATTACTTTTTTTATTATTTTGACAAACAATTGAGGAAAAATGCTGAAGTTTCATTTTTTTTTTACTTCCTTAAAATTCCCTTGGAAATATCTAGACTTTAGTAGTGTCCAAGACATAGTAATCAAGACACTAAATTAGACTTCAAACTAACAGAATTTACTTGTATATTTAAGGGATCAGATATTTCTTAGCAGAAACATCCATGAAACTGAAGGGGAGAATGTTTTTCTTACAATCACTCATAAGAGAGATAAATTATCAAAGTGAGAGCATAATTTCTCACATATGCAAGCTTTAAATATTCATCATGTAAACCACAAAAAGCTGTTATAGGTAAAATGAAAATCGTTACAAATTAAAATATTCATTTGACTTGCTCAGTACAATGGATTTAACAAGTACAGTTACTTTAATACACAAACTATGTTATTAAAAAAAATCCGTAAAATTACTATAGTTTATCTACGTAAGCCACTCCTCTAGTCATTCGTCTGGAATGGTGGGGGTGACTATGGTTACAAGGTTTAACTATGTCACGTATTGGGTGCATGGTATATGGTATCAAGCATGGGCTTAACTATTTCAAATTGGGAAATTATTCATGACAAGTTTTGGCTCAGGACGACAGAAGGAAAGGGAATAAAAAAGAAGATCTTTCTTTGAAATGCGCTATCTCTTGTTTATTTAGCAGCAGAAGGCCTTAGATTTCATGGCGAGGAGAGTTCTTTCTATAGACAAACTATATGTTAGCAAAAGGGTGGTGTGAGCCAAGAGTAGAATTTGAATGGCCAAACTTTATATTAAAAGTCTTGTCTATTGAAATCATATTTAAGTGCAAAAAGGCTTAAAACTATAGTGACTCACCCTTATGAAAATGTCTGGCATGCTAACTTACCAAAACATTACAAGTAAAGACAGCTGATAATCAAGTAAAGTATCATTTCAGCAATGAAGTGGAATTTCAAGTTTATTTATACGATGTTCAGAAGCATCGAATAGCTTCTGAATAGCACGAGAAAGTATAGAAAAAAGTAATGAAATGATTTTTTTTTTAAAAATGTCTTAAAGTTTGAAAAAAGATATCTTATAATAAAAAGGGCTTCATGGAAAAAACTAGAACTTCAATTGCTTGTTTTAATCCGTTTATGATTAGGTTGAAAGTCCGAGAACACTGTTTTGTGAAAGACAATTTTAAACTGGTAAATATGTGGAGAAAGTGT